GGCTGGGAGAGCGAGGAGAGGGACGGAAGGGAGGAGGGGGTTGGGTGGGGTGGGGGTGACAGGCAGAGAGGAGCCTGGTCAACAAGCCAGCACCACTCTGCTAGAGGCCAGGCCGGCTCCCGCAGCCGACGCATCCCGTGTGAGGAGACACACACAGCTTGCCTTCCGGGGGGCTCCCTGTCAGCCACCAACACGGGGAACACACACTGACACACACGTACACACAGATCCAGCCGGGTTGTGGGAGGTAAGTGGGCGAAGGCGAGGAGGGGCCGCAGGGGCGGGGGGTGGGCCCTGCGGGGCTCTGGGGTGCTGCTGAGGTGAGCCTGGGCTGGCCTGCGCCGGGGGTGGCGAGGAGGAGGGCAGGGGGGGACACACGACGGCCTGCCCCGCCTCTGGGAGACCCGACAGGGAGAGGCCACCCCCAGCGAGGTCCCCCCTGTGCTGATGATTTTCAGGGACTTGTTGGCAACTCAGCGAGGGTTGCCATAGCTTTTTTATGTAGGGTGACCAGAACCGGCTGAAACTGGTTTGAGGCAGATCAGCTCCTGAACACAATGCAGTCACTGAGCTACTACAGTGGGATAGCAGCTTCCTCCCTTCATGGCAGCCAAAAGCAGAGCGCGTGCAGGAAGGTTCCATCCCAACACAGTATGTGAATGCACACTTAGACACCACACAGCACTGGTACGTGACTAATTTAGCCCTGAAAGACTGTGTAGAGAAGATGGAAAAAAAAGGTGCAGGTTTGCAGGATCTGAGGTTACTTGGGCTTTTCCTGCCTTTTTTCTTTTGCTTAAGGGATGGACAAGGAGCTGAGATTTATGACCCTTATTAAAGAGAGAGAGAGAGAAAGAAAGAAAGGAAAAAAAAAATGTGTCTTGCCAGGGTGGGGACACTTGGTTTATGCAGTCTCTCTCGCGTTCTGTGTTTTTAACAAAACCAAACCAAAATGAACTGGTGGGTTTGTGATGGTAGCTTGTTTGTTGCTGGAGAATGCTACTTTGCATGCCTTTCTTCTCTCGCAGGCTGTGTTCTGTTTTGTGCTTTTTTCCTTTTAGAAGCTACTAAAGGGTGTTGGGGATACTTCTGACTATTATGAAGGCCAAAAGGTAACAGAATTGTTCTAGAAAATGAGCATAAATGCATTCCAGTGATGCTGTTAGCCATACATGCTGTCTCTCTCTTTTTCCTTGTAGGCCTGTTGACTGGGGCTGCTTTTAACCCTTTCATATTTGCAGAGAATGCAACCGGGTGACAGTAACTGAACACTGGTCCAAAGTCTTTCCAAAGGGTCAAGGTTCACAAGGTGAGATATGCTATTTTGAGCATGAATTTAAATATTTATTCGCAGAGCCATTCAGGCGCAGGCTAGCAGTGGATTGGTACCCCGGAGAGAAAAATGGGGCTCAGAGTACAGAAGAAATACTCTTTATGTTAGCCAGGTTTAATGGGATTAGAGTGACTTTCTGGTGGCATTGCTAATCGAGGCAAAAATCTGAATGCCTTCATTAAGTCGTTTGTGTCTGGGCTTCGGCCTGGGAAGCAGGAAGTTGGGAGAATGGTAGGCGTCAGGGCCTTGTGAGAATCTGCTTGCTGTTGTGCCTCGGACGGAAGCAGTACCCATGTAGCATTTTCCCTGGGACCGTGAGCCGGCGCGGGGCCGCCCGGCCACCTTTGCAGGATGTGAGGCGTCTCCAGGAGCCTTCGCCTTTTGTTCCTCTACCATCTTCCCTCTACCTTGCTCTCTCCGGCCGCCGTTCACCTGAAGTGGTGGAATGTCTTTTATTGATTTTGGGGGCCGCTGACGGTGAGTTGGCCATTGGATTCTTTGTGGAATACTAATGCAGCACAGGAGGGAACCGGGCAGTCTGGCTTCGTGCATGAAAAAGGTGCCTGTTCCAGCCCAGGGCTTCCCTGTCTACCGGATGGTAGGGAATGCTTGCAGCCTGAAAGGATCGCAGTCAGATCTGAGCTGGCAGTTTGAGGCTTTGAGAGGAGAGAGGGGAGGCAGGCAGGCAGGAGTGGAGCACAGTGCAGAACAAAGGCTGCGAGAGCTTACCAGGGGAACACGAGAGACATTTTGCCTTGGGGTTCCTGGGGAAAAGAACTGCAGCTTCCCCAAACAGGAAACCAGTAGCTCCAGAATCGCATCCAATATGATCTCAGCAACAGATGAGCCGGTTGTGCCTGTCTGCTGCTCTGGTGCAAAGTACAGTCAAGAGGAGCCCAGAGGAGACAGGGTGGGAAAGAATTCCCCCCCCCCACTTGCTCACGGAATGCAGGCTTTTCAGAAATGCCGAGGATCTTAGAACGGGCGGGCGGGCGGGCCGGCGAGCTGGCAGTGGGTGGGCCGGGATCCGCAAGGAAGGGTGTTAAGTATGTAAGGGCTTTATTGTTAGTGTTTTTCATGTGGCTGCAGAACATCAGCCAGTGTGATAAAACTGGCAAAAGGGAAACAGGAGGGCATGTGGTTAGCTCGGAATCCTTGACGTAGTATTTAATGGACGTAAATGTAGTCTCTGATGGGTATACCTGTAAAAAGCTTACACGATGGAACGAAATTCTTTGCAAATCACTGTGCTGAAATTGGTTTTTCAATTCTGCCTCATTTTTGACTGCCAGAGGTGCTGCGTGTGACTGTGGCAGAAATATGCTTGCAAAGCAGATCCGAATCCATGTTGCATGATAGGCGGCTGCTGCTTTTCTGGTGCCAACTAAAACTCAGATGGCCAACGTGATAAACCTTCATTAGCTTAATGCAGTAAGCTGCGTGGTCATTTAGTCCTGCACTCCTGCCTTGCCAGAGTCAGTGGTTTTTATTTAACTCTGCCAGCCAGCCCCTCGCAATGACCGTTTCTTGAGACTATGTTTAAAAAAAAACCTTTTTTAGGCATTGCATGCCTTGGAATGTTCTGGTTTACTCTCCTGGTGGCTGTCAGCTTTGTTATTCCCCCTCCCCCTCCCCGCTCCCCAGAAGTCTCCTGGAAATAGCAGCCGTTTTGCATGGAGGCCAGTCTTTCCAGCTGCAGATGCGGCCGAAGGCTGCCGAGCTGGTTCTCCCGGGCGGCCGAGCGTGAGCTCCTCTCGGACCGAGGTTTGTCTCAGGTGTTGATCTCATCTCCCGCTGAGGTCTAACAATGTGGCAGGCCCGGGTCTCCCGGGAGAGGGGAGAGGGGACGGGAGGTTGCTGGCCTTGGGAATGCGATGGGGGCGTGGCGAGAATAAGCCAGGGCAGGTTCCTTCTTGGGAGAGCCTGGGGGAGCAGGGTGGCACCCACACTTGGGCGGGGCCCTGTGCCTGGCTCTCGCTGTCGCGGTGCGGTGTGCTGGCAGCCACACCTGGAGCCTGGCGCCTGGTTGGGACCGCCTGCGGCAGCCTCGGTCTCCCGGGACAGGACGGCCTGCGGCCATCCCCTGGAGCAGGAATGTGTGGTTTGGGCGCAGGAGAGCACACTGGAAAGAAAGTGTAACTGGGTGTTGAACCCTTGCTTGTTTCTGTCATTTGCCTACGCAGAGTCATTCTTTCCATGTGGAAGAGCGTCGGACCCAGGGCTGTTAGAACTGAGCCTAGCCTGCCTCCACCCGCCTCAGCGCATTTTTAAGGAAGCTCTAGGAAGGAGGTAGCCAACACCAGGAGGGATTTTCAGCTGTTCCCTCTGAGTAGGACCCTCCCCCTTGCTTCCTGCCTTGAAATGCTTCCCTGGGCTGGGCTGCTTGGGCGTTCAGTCTGTTCTAAGTCACCTTTCCCCGTCCTTGGTCCTTGGGACAACTGTGTCTTGTTGCGCAGCTGGAGCAGAGACTGCCTTGACACGGGGCGGGCCGGGCCGCCAAAACCTGAAAGTACTGCAGAAGGCTTGGGGCTGCTCCTTCCTCCTTCCCTGAGCACCTCCTCCCACCCCGGCACCTGGGGACTAGAGCCGTAGCAGCCACGGTAAACATTACAGAATTCCACACCTCTGTGTTAACTGTATTTTACAGATGATCTTCAGCCAAGTCATGGTTAAAGAATTAACTAACCTTTTTATTTTTTAACTTACATATCATAACATTTACTCCGTACAATTTTTTGCTTTTTTTTTCTTATTTATTTTATTTTTATTTGAAAGGCAGAGAGAGAGAGAGAGTGAGCTTCCTTTGCTGGTTCACTCCTCAAATGCCAGCAGCAGCCAGGGCTGGGCCAGGCTGAAGCTAGTAGCCCAGAACTCCAGCCAGGCTCCCATGTGGGCGGCAGGGACTCGAGCCCTAGAACTGTCGTCTGCTGCTTCCCAGGATGTGCACTGGCAGGAAGCTGGATCAGAAGTGGAGTAGCTGGGACTCCTGAACAAGGCACTGTACGGCATGCAGGTGCCCCAATTGGTGGCTTGAGCTGCCACGCAGAAGCCCTGCCCTGGTTATGTGCCGGGCCTTGGATCTGGCACGCAGTTGACAGAGTTCTGTCTTGCCAGAAATATTCCTCTGTCCCTTGACAGCGGGGCTCTTCCCACCCTCCTCCTGGCAGACTTTGCTCTCTGTCCCTCTGGCTGGGTCCTGTCCCGAGTAGTCAGATGAATGGCCTCTTTCACTTGCAAAGTGCCTTTGTGCTTTCTGCCTATTGTGTGGAGTAGCCACACCTGGTTCTTTTTTTTTTTTTTAATTTATTTATTTTTTTTTTTGTATCTACTGAGAGAAAGAGTGCGAGAGCGAGCGAGCAAGTGTGTGCACGTGTGGCATGAGAATCTCCTACCCGCTGGTCCACTCTCCAAGTGAGTGTAATAGTCAGGGCTGGGCCAAGCAGGAGCTGGGAGCCTGGAATTCCATCCTGGTGTCCTGTGTGGATGGCAGGGGTCAAGCACGCAAGGCCCCATCCACTGCCTCCCAGGATGTATTTGAGGAACCTGAGTCAGAAGTGGAGCAGCCAGGACTGGAACCAGCACTGATGCAGGATGCTGGCATCATGGGCAGCAGCCCCATCCACGCGGCTTCTTGTTGCAGAGTAGATCCCCCCACCCCCAAGATGTACTGGTGCTCACTGTTCATCCGTTCACCGGCTGAAGGACGTGGGGTTTCCAGTTTTGGTGATTGTGAACGAAGCTGCAGTAGACATTTGTGTACAGGTTTGCACGTGAGCATACGTTTCTCTTCCAGTAAATCCTTAGCGTTGAGATGGCTGCATCCTGGGGTCCCTACCCAAGAATTCGAGTTTTGAGTGAGGATACACGGAGCTCAGCATAGCTCACAGGAAAGATCCAGCCCCAACAACTGCAGTTGAAACTTCCAGCGACAGAGGTGGCGGTGAACGTGGTCTGAAGACACATGCGATCGTGATAATGGAACGCTCCCTAATGGGATGACATGCTTTATAACCCTGAACTAATCGGAATTAGCCAAAAGTGGAAACAAAAAACTGCCGGCTGGTACAATGTCCCTTATTTCCCTCAGCAGTTATTTTTAGTCTTCAAGAAACACTTGGTAGTTTAGTTTTTACCTTTGTCCTCAGGTTCAATAAAACACCACACAATAATGAAATTGAAGTTTGTGGAACGTGATACCTAAGATCTCTCTTGAAATCTTGGTGATGTGTAGACAGCTTCTTAATTATGATTTGATTTATTGACTGCTGATATATTGGTGCTTTAATAAGATATTATTCACCTTTTATATCTTTTAAGGAAGTGAAAATATTAATGCACTATCAAAGCAATGAAGAAGGGAGATTTTTGAAGCAGTTTTTTTTCTTTTTTTTAGGAATAGAATAGTTTGTTTTTTAAAAATTAATTTATTTGAAAGGCAGAGTTACAGAGAGAAGGGGAGACAGATCACTGGTTCACTTCCCAAATGGCAGGGCCAGGCTGAAGCCAGGAGCCTGGAACTCCGCCTGGGTCTCAAGCATTCAGATCATTTTTTGCTGCTGTTTGCCCAGATGCATTAGCAGGGAGCTGGATCAGAGACGGAGCAGTCAGGACTTGAACCGGTGCTCATATGGGAAGCCAGCACCACAGGCAGCAGCTTAGTCTGCTGCACCACAACCCTGGCCCCTAGGATAGAAGAGTTTCCAGGGTTGAGAAGAATAAATATGAGGAGTTGGGGCCGGTGCTGTGGCGTAGCTAGTAAAGCCACTGCCTGTAGTGCCGGTATCTCATATGGGTGCCAGCTCGTGTCCTGGCTGCTCCATTTCTGATCCAGCTCTCTGTTATGGCCTGGGAAAGCAGTAGAAGATGACCCAAGTCCTTGGGCCCCTGCACCCGTGTGGGAGACCTGGAAAAAAGTCCTGGCTCCTGGCTTTGGATGGGCCCAGCTCCAGCCATTGCAGCCAACTGGGGAATGAACCAGCAGATGGAAGACCTCTCTATTTGCCTCTCCTCTTTCTGTGTAACTCTGACTTTCAAATAAATAAATAAGTCTTTAAAAAATAATATGAGGAATTAATGGTGGGAGAGGGAGGAGAGCACAGGAAGTGGGAAGCTGTGTTCCTTTGGGGATCATTTTAGCCATTTCACCGACACTTGCTGAGTGCTGGCTCAGCACCAGGCACGGTGCTAGGCCTGGGAGTACAGCAGGGAAGGAAACTGGGGAGGAAAGGGAGGAAACGTACAGAAGCTGTGATGGGGGTGTGAATGGGCCACCTGTTGCCAGGTGTCCTGGGGGAGCCGTTGAAGAAGAATCTTCTCCGTGGGCCTGGAGAGCCCAGTGAGAGTGGGTGAGGTGGAGCAGTGGGTGGCGACAGTTGGAGGTTGCTGGGCTGTGGGAGACATAGGAAATGCCACCAGCAGGCAGCCAGGCCCAGACGGGTGACAGTCCCTCTGCGAGGTCCCTGTGAGGAGGCTGTCACTGCAAAGGTCCTGTGGCAGCATCATGGAGCGGGGCTGGGAGGGCAAATGAAGGGAGCCCGGTGGCAGCCTGGGAGGGAAACTCTGGGGCTTCATGTCCAGGTGCCAGCTGCTGTAGGGCCCAGGAGGAGCCTGATAGGCTGGGGGAGGGATGGAGAGGGGGAGGTGAGGTTGCCTGCAGGTGCAGTGTGAGGTTCCCTGGGGTCTGTTTCTGTCTTCCAGGTAGCAAATTCAGAAGGCAGAAGAGGGGCGGGAGGGCTTGCTCTGTGGAGCTGAGGTTTGGGTTCTGTTGTCTCCAGAGGTGTCCTTTGCCCGTGGGCTGTGACAGTCTGGAGTGTAGCAGGGCAAGTGAGGCTGGAGGTGGGGATTACGAGTAATTCACATAGAACAGAGATGATAAACAAAAGGTGGAAAAGAGGTGGAGTTTGGGATCCCCTGAGATTGTAGCTTATGTGGTGAAAACTGTAAATGGGGGTGGGGGGGTGGGGGGGGGTTGGAGGAGTGGTGGAAGAACTTAAGAATTTTGCATTGTTAAGAACATTGGAGGCCAAACTTGCAGAAAGTAGAAGATGGCGCCAGTAGCGGATCTCTGCAGTCACTTGTGCTACTTCATTTAATGTTGAAGCAGTGAGATGAGCTGTGTACTGCTGTCCCTGTGGTGCCAGCTGGAAACAGAGACCTGGCCACAGCCTCTGAACTGGCGAATGGTGGTGGAGGCATCCCATATGGTCACCAGTTGGAGTCCTGGCTTCTCCACTTCCGATCCAGCTCCCTGCTAACGCACCTGGGAAAAGGAGTAGAGGATTGCCCAGGAGCTTTGGCACTGCCACTGGTGTAGACCACGGTGAAGCTCCTGGCTCCTGGCTCCTGGCTTTTTGGCCTGGCCCAGCCCTGGTAGTTTCATCTATTTGGGGAGTGAACCAGCGATGAAAGATGCTCCCCCATAACTCTGCCTTTCAAATAAATAAAGTAAATCTTAAAAGAAAATTAAGGAGAAAAAGTAAATTGAAAGTGGTGCTGAGAAAAATTCAACAGTAAATAAACTAAATAAAACTAAAATAATCCAACAGTAAATAAACTAGGTAAATAAAATAGTTAAAAGAATTCTTTGAATCAGCTACAGACAGGAAGTTCTACATTCTGGCTATTTCAGAACAAGGGTGGAGAGCAAATTCTGTGTAATCTAAATCTAGAGACCAAAATAAGTGACTTTTAGACAAGTACAGAGTGGGTCTGTTTGCTATCGCACATACTCCCTGCCAAGGATCCTGTCTAGCTGATGGTCTTTAGGGCCTGAAAATGCAGATTTTTGTCTTTTGTTTCCCATCAGTTATTACAACTTTACGTAATTAGGACTTCAGGCATTTTAAGCAGTCCGTACAGGCTGAAAGATAACAATCGGGGCATTGGAGTCATAAACTGTTTACTCAACATCTGCTTTTTCTTTCTGGGACAAAAACTCTGCCTTCCAAAGGCTGATTGTTGAGACTAGTAATGGGTATTGGCTTTATAATTTTTTTCTTTGAAGAACAAATTTTTTGTAGGGATCTGAGTAGAGAGAGTTGGATTGTTGAACAACTTCATAGGTTAGAAAATTCAAAGCCCTCTGTTGTAAAGAATCACAGCTAGACATATGCAGATATTTATAGCTATCTCTGCATTTCCTACAAGGAGCCCAAACTAGGGCCTGGTCATCAGGTAGTTAATGGTGGGTTTGGAACAAGAACCCAGCTCTGGGCTTCTAGGCCCAGACTGCTTCCATCAGTTCCTCCTCTCCACCTTCCAAAATTTATCGTATGTATTATGATGGTATATAATTCAGCTCATGTTGATTTTTTTTACTTTGTTTTGGAAGATTTAATCTTATTTATTTGAGAGAAAGAGTTATACACAGAGAGGGAGAAACAGAGTCTTCCATCAGCTGATTCACTCCTCAGATGGCCACAACAGCTGGAGCTGAGCCGATCCAAAGTCAGGAGCCAAGAGATTCTTCCGGGTCTCCCACGAGTGTGCAGGAGCCCAAGTGCTTGGGCCATCTTTCACTGCTTTCCCAGGCCATAGCAGAAAGCTGGATCGGAAGAGGGGCAGCCAGGACTCAAACTGGCGCCCATATGGGATGCCGGCGCTGCAGGAGGAAGCTTAGCCTATTGAGCCACAGAGCCAGCCCCGAAGCTCACGTTTATAATCACTGTACGCTATGAACATGAAACATAAGTTAGTCAAATCAAGCCTCACACGATAGGATTATCTTTGGCAGTTTTGCTGATTTAACATTAGCATAGGAGAGAGAGGTGGTTTGAGAATTGATGATGCTTAGTGGTCTAGTTAAGCCTGGGTGGTAAACTCATGGAGATTTTTGGTTGTTTTTGCCAAGTTCTGGATGATGTAAACCTGTTTTGCCCAACCCTCAGTGATAGATAGAAACCTGTGTTCTGCCACTTAACTTGCTGTGGGACCTTGGGCAAGCTGCTGAAATTCCAAAGCATATTTGTGTGTTGTTTCAAGTGCTTCAGCCCCAGAATTCTGTTTTATTCTGTCTGGGACAGTGTTGTGTCTCCTGTCCTGCCTACCTCATTTACAGGTGCATATTTGTTTTCCACATCTGTCTCCTGTCTGTCTGTAGGGCCACATTAACACTTGGCCCTGCATCTGGTTAGAAGTGAGTGAAATGTAGGTGGGACTACTTGGCTCTACTTTCATTTGTACTTGGAGAACCTTGTCTGGATTTTGTAGTCATAATCTTGTGCTTTGACTCTGCCTCTGGGAGGATTCAACCCAGTTAGTGAGTAGCTGTACCCTAGGTTATCTGTGTATTGGTGTCATTAGGTTCACTGAAGTTTAAACTGAGGCAGGGAATGTGTGGCCCGCGGGCCATTTAAGGCCCTCGAAATCATTTGGGTTGGACCATAGGCAAGACTCTAAATTCATTAAGTCTATAGCAGGCTAATTTTTAAGTTGAGGATTTTGTGTGGCCTGCGAATGATGTTATAAATAGAATATCCAAATGGCCCTTGGCAGAAAAAAGGTTCCCCACCTCGGGTTCCAAACAGAATAGACGTGACTGTGACTGGGGTTAGCAGAGTGCCTGTGTTCTGTGCTCTGCCTTTGGCCCTGTGCTTCCTGCATCTGCGTGACAGTGCCTGCACGCCGGGCCGGGGGAGATGCTGGTGGAGTGGAGAAGGCGTCCAGGGACCCATGGGAAGTTCTTTAATGTCTGGGGTGGCTCTGTCCAGAAGGGTGGCCAATAGCTACCATATGGTTGGCCACTGACCACTTGAAATGTGACTAGCTCTAGTTGAGATTTGTTACAAGATGCATGTTGTAAGTATAAGAATGTAAATTTTCTAGCCGGCGCCGTGGCTCAATAGGCTAATCCTCCACCTTGCGGCGCCGGCACACCGGGTTCTAGTCCCGGTTGGGGCGCCGGATTCTGTCCCGGTCGCCCCTCTTCCAGGCCAGCTCTCTGCTATGGCCAGGGAGTGCAGTGGAGGATGGCCCAGGTGCTTGGGCCCTGCACCCCATGGGAGACCAGGAAAAGCACCTGGCTCCTGGCTCCTGCCAGGATCAGCGCGGTGCGCCGGCTGCAGCACACCAGCCGTGGCGGCCATTGGAGGGTGACCCAACGGCAAAGGAAGACCTTTCTCTTTCTGTTTTTTTCTCACTGTCCACTCTGCCTGTCAAAAAAAAAAAAAAAAAAAAAAAAA